TGAATGGATCATTCTCGGTCGAGCTGCCGAATATTCCTGTGCGATGCATCGACTTGCATCTCTGTCAGAGTGTATGCAATGGCGCGTGTTCGTACTTTGATCACATCCCCGTTAGAATGGCTGTTCCATCCCTGTTCCTCATCGTCGTCATCGCTGTATCAGACCCTCTCCGGGTTATCGTTGTTCTCGAAACGAGACTTTGACAATAATTCACACGGGCACGAAAAATTGTTCCGGTGAAACTGGCGAGCTTACGTCAAACGATGCACAGTCGGTTGGAAATGTATTTCTTCGGAAATTATCTCGCTGAATTGCTTCCTCTTTACTTTTTTTTGTTTTTGTTCCTCTGTAATTATTTCGTTCTTTACGCTTCAGAGACTGGTATTTAAAAGTTTGTTGAAAGGATTTTGTTTTTTTGGAAAGTGGGGGAATGAGAGAAAATTGTGGATAATTGAAGTATTTAGCAGTTGAGTTAATTCATATCTTATTAATTATGATTACAATAACTCACAGGTGTGTTAAATAATTCCTTTACCTACTTAATTAACTAAAAGTTCAATTACTCTATCATTATATTTCGATTATTAATTCAACTTCAAATACTTCAATTGAACTCGTAATTACAATAGCTACTCTATTGATTAAAAGATTTGAATTATGTAATTGATTCCTATAATTAGCAGTGTAATTGTAACGTCTGTCCTAATTATCCACTCAATCGCTAATTTCCTTTTAATGAAAAATAATTCCGAAGTCGATTAAAAATCTGACACGATTTCATAACATCAAAGTATCATTAAATAGCACTTATGCGACATCAATTTCGAGGTTGAAATTTGATGGAAATAACCTCAGAAGCCTTTAATTAATTCATGTATGTATTCATGTATCGTTTACGGATTTTAATCAGCGCATTCCACGGGCTATTGGTAATTTAATACATTATTCAAAGTGGAAATACGACATTCGGTCACCCGAAATGTTCAATTTTGCCAAAGTTAAAAATAAGGCACCATTGAAACTATTATTTTTAACGAATAATGGAAATGCAATTATGAAGTGCTCTTAAAATATTGTAACAGAATATGGAGCATTAAGAGGGTAACCGGATTAAAGCGCTTTAATAATAATGCAGTAGCTTCTGTTTCGCCATCTTTTTTATTGACGTCGAATTTCTTCTTCGTGGAGCATAAATTAATATTCATAAACCTGGTTATTCGCCGTTGCAATTAATCGCTGGGATACAAAGCGTTCGCAGAATCGTTGGTATCTCATACGTTCAACTTTTTCAATTAAATATTTATCTCCTCTGTACGTCACACGGGAACATCTCTATCGACGATTGGGTTTGATTCATCGTTGCAAACTTTTTCTCGATAATTGAAATCCTCCGTGGAATGAACCGTTCAACTGTAACTACGAATAACGAGAACCGAATCGTACGTCAAACGCATTTCTAGTCGCGAAGATTAGATACTGCATTCTGATTTTATTGCGAATCAGAGTCGTGTCTAGGGATTTCGTGCGCTCGGAATATTATTTCGATGTTGGGGAATTAGTAGGGGGTTGTTAGGGCAGTTAGATCAGTACCGTGTACTGGAAAGTGTAATTGACTGCTTTGTTGCTATGAATGAGGGTTGTAAGCGATTTGCAATATAGAAAGGGAAAAAATTTAAAGATTTGTGAATCTGATTATTTCTGACTTTTTCATTACTGATATTTCTTAATTTGAATACTTGTGGTTTGGAAAATTTTAAATTTCTAAAATTCCAAATTCTCAAATTTCAAGATTTTATTATTTCTGAATTTCTGAATTTCTGAATTGCCGAATTTCTGAATTTCTGAATTTCTGAATTTCTGAATTTCTGAATTTCTGAATTTCTGAATTTCTGAATTTCTGAATTGCTGAATTTCTGAATTTCTGAATTGCTGAATTGCTAAATTGTTGAATTGCTGAATTGCTGAATTGCTGAATTGCTGAATCGTTAAATTGCTGAATTTCTGAATTTGCACGTTTCCACATTTCCACATTTCCATATTTCGACATTTCTATGTCTTAAAATTAGAAATTTTCATACCTGTAATGATATTGGTATTAAATTAAAACTAAACTTGTTAGAATAATAACTTGTTAGAGTAAATTCCTTAAACGTTACTTTTATATTATAATTTAATATACATTTATTACATATAAAATTTAAAAATAAAATATTAAATAACACTTCTCCAAGCAAATACCTTCATATCCACATTAATTTTGTCATACCCTCTTTTGTCATATACCTTCTCTCAATATATCGCCATTTTCCTCACAGAAATCTATCATACTCACTATTGTACCTGCGTTTAGTCAAGTGGTTTTTTTTTGTAAACCATAGAGCACTTTTTTGTATAATCGCACCATTTCGAAGCTCACGTTCAATATCGTCCATGAAAGCGTTTTCGTTTCGAGTTAAATTCTGATGGCACATACTTTCTAGCTTCTATTAAAATTCTTCATTTCGATGTTAATCGTGTGGAAACGTTTTTCTTGAAAAATTATCTCACTGAATCGCTCGCGTTTTCTTTCTTTTGTCGTTGCAGAATTTTTGGCTTCATTCAAATTATGCATCATGTACCTGGAGAATTTTTGAAATGGAAATGATGAAAGCATTTCTCTCTGGTGTACTTTGCGAAGTTTGATAATTTTGTGTGGAAGAAAATTTTATTAAATTGTTGATTACATTTCTGTATCTTTGTGGACAAATACTGGTGCTCACGTTTTATACTGTAGATGTATTTTGTAATTTGTACTTTATACTTTATATTTCGTTCTATATATAATACTTTATATTTAATATTTAATGTACATATGATAATTACATAATTAAATTCGTAATAATTCCTATTTAATATTTTATGTTAACACTTTATGTCATATTTAATATTATGTAAAATCATATTTAATATTTTACTTGAAAGCTGAGACTTGGTACTTGATACTTGGAACTTGAGACTCAAGACTAGGTGCCTGATACTTGATACCTTATACACGATACCTGATATGTGATACCTAATCCGTAAAGCTTGATACCTGATATTTGATACTTGACACCTGATACCTGATACCCGATACCTGACACCTAATACCCGATACCTGATACCTGATTCCTGATTCCTGATACTTGGATACCTAATACCTGGTATCTCATATCTGACACCTGACATCTAATACCTGATATCTAATACCTGATACCTGATCCCTGATACCTGATACTTAATGCTTAATGCTTAATGCTTGACACTTGATACTTGACACGTTATCTTTTATAATTTATCCTTTATACTTCATACTTGATCTTTTATAGTTGATCCTTTATACTTGATCCTTTATACTTGACCCTTTGTTCTTGATCCTTTATACTTGATGCTTTATAGTTGATCCTTTATACTTGATCCTTTAGACTTGATGCTTTATACATGATCCTTTATACTTGATCTTTTATAGTTGATCCTTTATACTTGATCCTTTAGACTTGATGCTTTATACTTGATCCTTTATACTTCATCTTTTATAGTTGATCCTTTATACTTGATCCTTTATACTTGACCCATTGTTCTTGATCCTTTATACTTGATGCTTTATAGTTTATCCTTTATACTTGATCCTTTATACATGCCCCTTTGTACTTGATCCTTTGTACTTGATGTTTTATACTTGATCCTTAAACTTGATTCTTTATACTTGATTCTTTATATTTGACCCTTTATACTTGACCCTTTATACTGCATCCTTTATACTTTACCCTTTACATTTTATACTTCATGCGTTACACTTTATACTTGATCCTTCACGCATGATGCTTAATATTTGATTTTATACTTGATGCATTACACTTTATAGTTCATACCACAAAGTGTTTCCAAACTTCGTTCATAATTCATATTGTAAAATTTACGATGTAAAGTTCTTATTAAAATAACTTTTATACCGTAATTATCGCAAACTTAAAGATCCAATACTTAAAATGACACGGAATTCGTTCAATTAAATTGGAAATTACGATTCATTTGCCACCTAATTTAGAACTTCCTCAATTTGCCATACCACTTTATATATTATGTGCACGTCAATTTCCATTATCCACACATTCTCAAATATACATATGCAAATATAGTAACAAAATTGTAGACTTCCCAGAATGGAAATCAGAGTGCTGCATAATCGATTTTCGATATCTCATTCACAGTTTGATTTTAATATAGAACAAAATGTTCCGTGTACTCAAATTATTCAGAAAGAACTATGCTCAAACAGTACGCTGTTCGTTTTTAATCAAATACACAGAAGTTTACACTAGCCGGCTAAACAAACTGGTAGCAGTCTATGAAAAAGAATTGTTACATACAAAGACATGTATTTTTTGCTACAATTTAAATATATATTTTTCGTTATCACCTGCGATAGTATTATATTAAATAAAAGGTAGATTCGGCAAACACGTTCTAATTTTAAAAATTATTTTTTGTTTCAATTTTACCTATCTTATAAAAAAATTTATTACATTTTACCCATGCGATAAAAGTAAAATAAAAATTTTGTGATCAACCATTTGACCAATTTCTTCCATAGGATTAATCAGATCTAATTATCACTGTAGTGTCAAATAAAAAAAGTTGAAGTGTACAGCTGAAGGTGTACTGATATCTGAATTAGATATACTTACCAATTTTTAATTATATAAATTAGAATTGATATCGAGCCCAAAACTCTATTATTATGTGAACATGATTTATAGAATTTGTCATAGAATTTGTCATATTTGTAATATACATCACGGTTCTCACTCGGTTATAATCTAAAGTACTGACAAGTTAAACAAAGAATGTTTGCACTAAATTTGATCGTTACTTGCATTTCAGAAATCGTAGGATCACGCGTTTCCGCCACGCTGAAGGCTGGGTGAAATCAACAGACGTCGAAGGATTATCAGAAGCTTCGGGGGATGCGAAAACCGGAGGACGATGTCAATGAGACCGGCCTGGGGGCCAAAGTTATTTCTCGTGCTGATGACGACCACGATCGTTATCGGCAATTATCAGCGTCATCGTGAGAGGACCTATTTACGCGAGCAGCTCGTTAACGTGCACAAAGTAACGAGGAACGTCACCAAGTTACAAGGTGAGTCCTGTTCAAACTTCCTGCAAGAATTTTTCAGTTTGTATTTTGCGAATGCCACTCAATAACTAAATTGGCTGTCGAGGAATATGAGCGTAGATGTATATACAATATTTGTATAAGTTTAATGGAAATTCTTTACAATGTGTTGCTACATTTCTTATTATTGCGAAATAAGAACTGACATGACCTTTTGTATTTTGGCAAGTAGCGACGCTCAGGGTTCAAATGAAGGGTTCAAATGTTATTAATCTTATTAAAATTTTTAATACTCTTCAACTTGAAGTTTGGGTTCAATAATTCGTGTAGACTCTAAGTATAAAGTACGTACAAGATTTTCATTTTTTTTTTTGGCTGGTTTAATATTGTAGTTATGCATAGTTCATTTTGACTGACACGTCTGGCAAGGGGTTTAATGGAACTATTCTTGATACATTTAATGTTGACAATGAAATATTACTATTCAGTATAGTTAATATTAACATTGAGGTACCGTTTCTTAACGTGGTTAATATTAAACTGAGATATTACTTCTTAATATAGTTTAATATTAATATTGAGCTATTTCTTTTTAGCATTTTTAACCTCAGCCGTGCTTCGACGACTGATGTGTGAGATCACAGTATAATGCTATGAATTTTACTGCCTTGAATTTTTAATATATATTAGTTTGAAGTTTGAATCAAATTATAATTTAAGTTAAGGATTTCTGAATACCTAATTGAGATAAAATTTAAACTGTCGTTATTTGTAAATGTGAAAAGTTCTGAATGAGAAAGAAATTGCACAGGGGTTAATATTAATATTATATTTCTTGGCATAATTAATACTAACATTGAGCTATTATTTTTTGACATAATTAATATTAACATTGAGCTACTATTTCTTGACATAATCAATATTAACATTGAACTATTATTTTTTGACATAATCAATATTAACAATGAGCCACTATTTCTTGACACAGTTGATACTAACATTGAGTTATTATTTTTTGACATAATTAATATTAGCATTGAGCTACTATTTCTTGATGTAATTAATATTAACAATGAACTAATTCTTAAAATATCCAATATCTATAAACATCTATCACAGTAAAAAAATCAGAAATTCAAGTCCTATGTACCAACACTGAATTATCAATATGTATAAGTCATTAAGTATCTTCAATCAGAAAATTTATGAGATACAATTGATGATACATCATTAATTTTCTCCTAAAATTTATTTTAACTGCGTAAGTAAAAGAATCCCTATATTGTACCTTGAGTGTACATTACTCGTATCAATGAAGCGCGTTTTACGACACCGCAATTATGGGTAGGTTGATTTACAGGGTGGTTATAATTAAACTTACCCTATTTAACCCTTCGAGTACGAAACGATATAACGCACCGTACTTGTATAAACAAAAATAATTCTAAACGTATGTACAGAATTATAATCTATTTTATATTCAAGTTATATTCTATATTCAAATATTTGTACAAAACTATTCTATACATATTCTCCTTAATTTTCATTTATTTCGAATAAATTTTGTGAATAAATGCAATTGTACTTAAGGAAAAATTTCTTTTGCATTTTTTTGACCATGTTAGAATCTTCATATTAGGGTCATAGTAAAATATTATAATTCTCTATCGACAGTTCTCATCAATTTTTTAAATTCTAAACTTTGCAGGTACCTAAATTTCTATATTGCAAAATTTTTTAATTTTCAAATTGTAGTTCACCAAATTTACAAATGTATTGTATATCCTCAAATTCCCTAATGCCAAATATACAAATCATTAAATTTCCAAGCAGAAAAATTCCAAGCAATTTTTTCCAAGCAAAAACCATACAGCTCGTTTCAACTACGTCACCCAGTACATCACATAAACCGACCAATCAAATACTAATCAATCCATCCACTAAATGATATTAGTTACCATTTCATTAGTTTCAATTCACAAGAGAGTTTTAGCAAAGTAACAGCATTTGTACGTCCGAAGTAAATTGAACTCTGGCAGGGAACGGAACAATTACTGCAGTACTGTAGCTGACATTTCGTTCGTTCGAGCCCAAGCACAACCAATTTTTCTACAGTCACACGTGAAACGAATGCAAGTGAGCTTTGCATCGTTTTGAGGTTTGCTTCGAAAGCGTTTCTTTAAATTGTACAATACAGAACGTGAGATACCAGCGAGACGGTGTAGTTACGTATGCATCATGTCTTCGGGAGTGCTACATTTTCTCTCTGTGAGCACTTAATCTACTGTCGAAAGCTGTTTAACGTTGAAATGCTAACAAATTTTACGTACGAACGGATTGACAGTTTCGCAGATTCAGTCAGTTTTCGCAAATTTGAAGAAGAATAACATTTATTGAATAACGAGGTCGTACAGTATTTTTGATGAGAGAAATGAAAATTTCAGATGAAGGTAGAAAAGTAGATGAAATTAGCACTTTTTTTGTATGCGATAACATACTGTGTTTTTGTTAATATTTTACACAACTCAGCCAAAAACTAAAATCTATCAATACGAGAAAAATTTGTTCCGATTTTAAAAAAGACTACAAACGACCGCAAAAGATTGTCGATGATAAAAAGATTACACGTCGAAACAATAAACTCATACGTTCTAATGGCGAACTGACGAAAAAACGATCGTCAGACGCGCTGGAGAATGAAATACGATGATCGCGGATCGCGTTAAAAGCTCGGTGCCGTAAAAACGATGCCTAAAAGTTGATCCAGCGAAATAGAAAGGTCGAGTAAACAGAAACAGGATGAACGTTGCGCGGAATTCGGTTTCTGAGCCAGGAAAAAGAGGGAAGAAAAAATGGAATTGACAGGCATAAAAGCAATTTCGACCACGTCGACGCGAGGAGAAAAGCAGACGTATGTATCGCAGGCGTAGCAGTTGATTGTTAGCCGTATACACGTGAAGAATCCAGTCATAAAACGTGAAAAACGAGTGGCAACGTCACGTCGTTTTCAATAAAACCAACACCAATCTGCTTTCCATGAATATTTCACGAATTTATCACTGCAACTTATCGGCACGTTTTAAATCAGCTTAATATATGCCGCCGATTACGAAAGTGACGTAAGGCAAAACTCTGAAACGGAACCTTCACCGGTTTTTATTGCGATTAATTTTATTAGATTCTCGGAATTGTCGATTAACTTTACTTTTTACTTGAATATTAACTGAATTCGTTACGAAGTTCTATGTGATTAATGGAAATTCCGTTCTTTACTTCGGTAATGGTGCAGTAATTGAATAATGAGTTGAATAATGGTGCATTTTGAAAATCACCTGTAATGTAATTAATTTTGATTATCCATTTAGGTTACATGAACAGTGAATCCAGATATGAGTGAAAGATCTGCTCTTTGTCAAACATAAATATCAAATTTTATAATTAATAGAATTAATAAGCATCAAATTATCTATTGTGATTATAATCTGTCGTGTATTTTAAAAATGTCGCTAATTTGCAATATTATCGTATCTTCCTTGAAATAAACTTTTTTAATAGAAAATGTTTGTTGAGGATTAACTTCTTATATTACTTGTTGCAGCTCAAAAGTGCATTTTCTTTTAAACAGAAAAGATCGAGCAGCGAGAAGATAGCGACATCGTGCTGCTGTAATTAAAATTTAGTTTAATCATAGGTTACTTTATTTTCACCATTGATATCGTACCGAAATGTAAAGTATTATTTTAGACATTTCAGTTGTCCTTTAAATGTCACCAGACAAGAAGACCTAATTATTTAAATACGTGTACGCCATTTGAAGTACGTAAATAAATGACTTATTAGATTGAAAACAGAACTCACGAAATTATGTATGCAACGTGTAAATGAGATAAAACAATATTTCTTGCGAAATTTACAAATATAGAATATAGCACAGCCGAGTAAAGTAGTTTCGCCATTTGTTGCGATGGACGGGGTTGTAAAAGAAAATTCTCGAATTGGCAATGCAGAGAGTTCCCTGTATACAGCACTCGAAAGTTTGCAAATTTAAATAGTTATGTATATTTTTAAAAATGTTTGTATTGCAAATTTTTAGAGTTTAGATTTTGAAGATTAATGAATTTTTTAATTTTCAAATTTGTGAATTTGCAAACTTGAAAATTTTTTATTTAGAAGTTTAGAAACATGTACATTGGTACACTTGACAATTTACAAATTTGTAAACTTGAAAATTCAATATTTTAAATAATGATAAATCTGTGAACTACTGAATTTGAAAATGTGTAAGTTTGCAAACTTGAAGAAAGTTATATTGGTCCTCGCTCATCCCTATTCTTTTGTCTTTTAATTCCAACGTGCCGCATTTATTAGCACCACAGCAGAGAATTGTCGCTAAGTTTAACGATTGATCGAAAGCAATTCACATTACACAGCACCTAGCCGGAGCGAAACTTTTCTAATTTACGTCGATACTTCATAACGAGATTCTAGTGTCCTAAATAACGATTAATTCTACACAGTTTCCGTCGGTTTAACTGGCACAAACATTCTATTTTTAAGTTTTCAAACGATAACCTGCAAACGTAATTCGAACGTGATTTGGTCAATTAATTCTATTACCGCGCCATTCCACACGTCACGTTTGCTAAAACCTGCAATTGAGCGTGCTACAATTCTAAACATTTTAATCGGAATAACTGGTAAATTGGAGTAAAATAACTGACAAAATAAAAAGAGATTAAAAAGTTAATATAGAATTAAATAATTTTTAGAAATATTTCGATCATTGTTTAAATTGTACAAGATTAAATTTCGACAAGCTTAGAATTTATTCTGTCAAGTCCTAATATTCATAAGTGGACTAACGGTTGAATAATTGTATAACACCAATATGTGTTTTCTACTTATTTTTAATAATGTTCCAAACTGAGGGACTATGTGTCTACATGTATCCGATGTTCCGATGTGAACAACGTGACTATGTATCCGATGTTCCAAAGTGAACCTCGCGTCCATTTCGTGTCTAT